TCATTTAAGCCCTAAAACAGCAAAGACTCTTTAACATGTGATTAAGTTCATCCATATTCATCACAGCTCTTAATTGTATGCCTAAATTTAAGCATGTTCTGTGATGGATATGGTCAGAGTTAAGCACCTGCTTAAGTGCTTTGTTGAAGCATGGGCACTGCCCATGGCAGGGCTGCCAGATGAGTTGCAAGTAAGAAGCTTAGAATGGTGTCCCTACCACAGAAATCTTTATGGAGTAGAGCTACTGTGTACTTAAAGGGAGCGAGAGACTGCTTACCTTCCAGAGGATTGTGTTTCTGACAGAGGAGGCTAGAACACCCACGTATTCTGCACCAGAAAAATGTGCAGTGGATTATTGTGGAGAAATCTGGACAGATGAGCTGAGACTCCAGTTGCTAAATGCTCCCACATCACGAACAGAGATATTTTGGAGCCTCCAAGAAAGATACCATAGAAATCAGCTAGCTTCATAGTGTACCGTAAGTATCCTGCCAAAACTCAGGAGAAAAGATGAATCTGCCCTAAGCTTAATTACATCCATCTACATCCAACAAAATACAAAAGGGAACAGACTATGATTCAGAAAAACTCTTCAGGAAACTTCAAAAGTTCTACTTCCTGGTACAAGGTGACCTATCTGGGTATATTCTCAGGACAGCCAAGAGGCCAAATCCAATTTTAATTACAGTCAGTTAGAGGTTTCTTCTTTACTTCAATAGAAGATGGCCCTCAATACGGATGAATTGGGAGAAAGGGATAGATGCCCACCCTGCTGGTACCTACATACACAAGAAAATGGTTTCAATGACATGGTGATCAAACAGGCAGCATAGCTACAGGTGGGAAGTGAGTCCTGTAAAAAACATATTTGGCACATTCATGCTGGTAGAGAGACAAATGGGTCCAATTCGTTTTATAGAAATAGCACAAGGCCAAAAAGACATTTCTGTGACAACTGGGTGCTTATTAGGGCTTTCTAATATGCACCAGGAAACTGAAAGTACTTATGCATCTGTCATATTGCTGGGAGAGTGGTTTTAAATTCCTGGCTGCACCTTCTTTGCACCTATCTGCACTGCAGAGGAATTCCTCCTATGAAAAGTGACAAGAAAAACACAGTAAGGCCCAGATTGTGCAAAGAGATGCACAGCACTCCACTACATTCAGCATAGCCCAGCCTAGGTGCATGGCTGCATCCACATGGCACAACTTGCAGGATTAGGGCAAATCTCATTTACCAGTGGCTTGTTAATTATTTTTTAGCAGGGTTTGTGTGTGTACAGCCCTGGATAATAATGAGGTTCTGTTACAGTGCTCTGGAGCTCAGATTTGGTCCTCAGATGCCCAAACAATCTACCTTGGAGGATTTGCTCCTCCTATACTCTGCTCTGTCTGCCCCACTCCGACTGGAACGTTTCAGAAGATACCCCCATCTTCCACTAAACTATTTCAGTTGTTTCTAAATCTTGTGTCTGGCCACTTCCCCTTTCTGACTTGTTAGCTCACTATTACTACAGAGCTTCAAAGTGACAAGGTGTTGGGAGAAATGCCATTCTCCTTGCTAAAATAAGTAGATGTATGTGAATGGAGTGAAGAAGACTTCATTGTATGACTCCTTTGTCTTGCAATTACATATAAAGCCAAACTACCCACATTAATTCTGCCTCTTGGCATCCTCTCTATCTTTTCACAGCTATGTACAAAGCAAACTCTTTTTTTTCCCACAAAGGCAATAAATGCATTAAAAAGTCACAGTATTATATTTAGAAAAGATTTGTAGACAAATATTAGAAACACTACAGCACTAATCCTAATGCCAGCCAAGAAAATGCTACTGAAGTATTACTTCTAAACCAATGGATTTCTCCAGTAAAATAGAGCTCAACAACAGAAGGACATTTAACCCTATGCCAAGAGCTAGCACAAGGCCTATGTACCACTTCTATCCTACTTAATTCTCTTTTTGAGAGCTAATACAGAGCTTAAATGATGTGCAGGCCTCATGCTGGTCCCCTGAATAGAGGTGAATTTTACCCGATAATGAAAAGTGAAGACGAATGGGCATCCCACAGTTCTGAATCTCTGCAATTTCAGTCACCCTGATGTTTTCTTGTGAAATAAATGACTTTGCTCTGGGGTGGGGATTCTGCCTGATCTCTGTGTTTGTCTCAGTGAGGATAAAGGGGGCTCTGTTAAAGAAAGGGACACCAAACCCCACCTGCAGCATTCACTCCATATACAGCATTGGTGGCATTCCCCATAAATAAAACAGGAAATAAAACACACTTATGCAGCACTGCACTAGGTAGATTTTAATGGTGCCTACTGTGTTATTTGTAAATGTAGGCTGGGATTTTCAAAGAAGCCTAAAGGAGAAGCGATAAATCGGACCTTCCCAGATTTTTTATTACATTCCCCTGTATCATGGTTTTAAAATCCATATATTTATCCTTTTTTATTCTGAAAAGTAATGGTCTGTTTCAACCACCTTGTGTGTTTGGAAAAGAAAACAGTGACCTCCATCTTTACTTCTGTGGTGTATATTTTTGCTCATCCACCCAGAGTTTCCTAAGACTTCTCTATGGTCCCTTCAGCAAGTGAAAATGCCATTTGCCTCTTGAGCTTTAATTACAACACAGGTTTGTTTTTTCCCCATAATTTGTTTCCTGCTTATTAAGATGTCCTGTGCAGTGGGATGAGGCTGCAGGAGCCACTAAACCAAGCCTGCACTGGACTGGCTGATTGGGTGACCAATCATATGACCTGGTAATACACAGAAACTGCGCAGTTCAGTGCCATGGCACACACCTCATGCATGTAAGCCACTTTATTTTCTAGAGCCTGATCCTTAGAAGCACTGAGAACCTGCATGCCTCACAGTGATGTCAAAGGGCCTTTTGCTTGGCGAGCCCCTCTCAGGTTCAGCTCCTTAGAAGAGTTAGCTCTAGATCCTCAAAGGTATGTTGGCACCTTGCTCCCAATGATTTCACTGAGAGTGAAAACCTAATACCCCTTGTAAATCCATGGCCCTGTTTCATTTTTTCAGTCTCTTTTTTGATGCCTGTAACCCATAGGACAATGGATAAATCCATGTGTACAAGTTAGGGCAATGAAAATGGTTCATGGGCTGGGGCACACGACTTATGAAGAGAGGCTGAAGGAACTGGGCTTATTTAGTCTAGAGAAGAGAAGACTGCGAGGGGATTTAATAGCAGCCTTCAACTACCTGAAGGGGAGTTCAAACAAGGATGGAGCTAGACTGTTCTCAGTGGTGGAAGATGACAGAAGAAGAAACAACGGTCTCAAGTTGCAGCAAGGGAAGTTTAGGTTAGATATTAGGAAAAAACTTTCTCACTAGGAGGGTGGTAAAGCACTGGGACAGGTTACCCAGAGAGGTGGTGCCTCTCCATCCTTGGAGGTTTTTAAGACCTGGAGAGACAAAGCTGGCTGGGATGATCTAGTTGGTGATCATCCTGCTTTGAGCAGGGGGTTGCACTAGATGACCTCTTGAGGTCCCTTCCAACCCTTATTTTCTATGATTCTAAGTCCTGTTGGGCAGTCATGGGAAAAGTTTACGAAAACTGTAACTAGTTAAAGTTAAAAGTTAGCAGCCTTTAAAATGAACTTGTGTTAAGTTAAATATTTCCACTTTCAACTAGTTAAAAGTTAAAAAGAAAGTAACTAATTAAAAGTTAAGTTGATTCATGAGAAATGCGTGAAACATGGTGAATTGCCTCTTAGCATCATTTTTCATTTTCAGATGCAATGAGTTTCTTTTCCATAAGCTCACAGAAGCACACTAATTTACTCAGCGCTCACCCTGCTTTACCTGAAAACAATGTTATGCTTGTCATACAGTTTTCAGAATAACAATTTACCAATACCTGTGTAATATTAGATCCTTCTCACCCTCTCCATGTGAAGTACTTTATAAAAGTCAATCCATCATATAGGTATACCAGAATACTAGAAAGGAGATATTCATAGCCAGGTGACAAATGAAAGCTGTTTCCACAGAAAACCTCTGTTGTTGCAATTTTTATTGCTCAAAAGGTAACAAAAGGGTATGAAATACATCTAAATTAGAAATAATGAAAGTGTCTGAAAATCAAAATTAGACTGAAATGAGAAAATCAGTTTAAATGAGAAAAAGAATGGTCAGTTGCATAGCAGAAGCTGTTTAAACATGCTTACTGAACTTCAGCAAAAGCTGCGTTTCAAAATTTGCGTCTGACAATTTTCCTCTTCTGTCTTGCAAAACTAAGCCCCACTACCGAACAATCACTGTACATGGGCGAATGAGGGAACGCTTATGTTATAACGGATTAATAGTTTTTTCATAGTAGGTGACATCTCAGATAAGTTTCTCACAGATGACAAGTAATGCTCAACTCAGGGGCGATGCGTAGGGGGTGCAAGCAGGTGCACATGCACCCCCTGTGCATGGCAGTGCACCCCCTGCAAAAAGACACTGCCAACACTGCTGGTGGCACCTGCAGGCAGTCGCTGCTCACCACCCTGCCGCTGGCACTGCCGGTGCCATCTGCAGGTAGTCCACTATCGCCCCTGGCTGCTGCCGACAGCACCTGCGAGTGGTTGCCGAGCCCTGGTCAGCACTTGCCACCCCCTCTCCTTTGCCTCTCCCTCACCAACAGTGCTGGTGGCATCTGCAGGAGCTCCCCGCTCACCGCCGCCGGGCTACCGCCACTGTGCTCCTGCCACCACTGGTGCAGCTACGCCCCACCACCCCGCAGCCGCTGGGGGCACGTGCCGTTCATGGCTCAACTTCTTGGGCTCTGATCCAGATATTCATTAAAATTAAAAAAGTCATCATCTGCTTCACCCTCTCTACTTGCTCCCACTCTTACTGGGATCAATGTCTCTGCTTGCTTGTGCTTTTTCCATCCCCTGCAGCCAACTGGCTGCCCTGTTGACTTCTGCAAATGCACAGAAAATGCCAGCATGAACTAAGGAACTCGGGGACTTGTAGTTCTTAAGAGACCATATCGCATAGGAAGGCACACTACTCTCTCTCTCTCAAACAAGAAGTCCTAGAGTTTCAATAACGAAATATTGTTCCATGTAAGTCCTGGAAAGTGGCTGTATCAGAAAGAACTCTGGGAAAGCCGCATTTCAATTTTTAACGTTAACCTTTTTTTTAACCAGTTAAAGTTAAAAGTTGACAGCTGAAAAATGTAACTAGTTAAAGTTAAAAGTTAGCCATTTCTTTAACTGTTTAACTAGTTAATTAACTAGTTAATTCCCATGACTGCTGTTGTGTACAAAAAAGCCCAGGTAAACAATACATTTTCTGGCTGTTGAGCAGCAGGAGGATGTAAATAGTAACCAAGAGTAAAGGGGTCTGCAGTGAGAGTTCCCACCTGCTCTGGACTGGGCAAGAAAATGGAAAGGGCCTCCCTGTCCCCAAAGGATGGTAGGGGAGGGGTAGGGAGGTACAGAGGGTGAGGGACTGAAATGCACTCCAATCCCTCAGTAAAGAAGAATGGGGTGAAGGATGGTTTCCTTGACTGCCCACAGAATCAAGATTTTCACTAACCCCTTTGATTTGGTACCTGAATCTAGGTGTTACAGTGCCTAAATAGAGGCCCCTTAGGAGCGGGGACTCTTTGGGAAGGGGCTGTGTTACTGCTGCCTGTATAAAAGACCTAGCATAAAGGGGCTATGACCCTTTGAGAGCTATTGAAATATAAAGTCTAATATGAAGTAGCATCACCCAGTGTAGCACAGTGTGACTTGCAATGGGTCACCCATCTAAGAATGCAGGTCAATATTCTATCATTATGGTAATGTTGGTCTACCTTGTAAATATGCTCAGATAATGTTTTTAATTCATTTCCATGCAATGTATGGTACTGTCTCCTCTGAATGTCTCTTGTCCTCCTAACAGTTAAAACATCAGTCCACACTGATCTCTAGGGATAGATTACATAAGCCTTAACAGCACTGTGGCTAACAAAGACCTTAAGTAATAGTGGCCTATGCTTTGGAGAATAAAGTCCTCGATGACTGTGAGGCTTGTCACTATGATGAACAAAAGAGCAGACAACTCTGACATCCTGTGTGACCACCGAATCATTATGAATATCATACAAGGTTGTATAATTCCTGAACAAGGGAAAATTTACGACAACTGATCAGTAGATCAGATACTTTTAGGACTTTTGGTTAACTCTAAATAAAAAAAAAATTCTGTTCCAGAAACTGGCAGTGCCAATATATTACTGAATCTTCCTGGTGAACAGGAGAAAAAAGGACAACTCTGTGCACAGTAGTCTGGCACTAATGATCACATAATCTCCTTGATGCATAAGATTTAATTCATGATCTCCATATAATTAGTTTCCTGTGATTGTAGAGAGATGGGTAATAATGAAGCACACTCCCAAACTTCTCCCATCACCTCCCTTGTTTGGTTCCTAGTCACATCAATATGAAGTAGATAACCTAAATTCATGTGCATCAAGATTAAACTACAGTTTGAGCTTTCAAGTGATGTTATCACTTGAAGATGCAAGTAAGAAGATGAATTTAAGATGCAATCAGACATGTTAAGGATTAGAGCTGCTGTTTTTGCAAGATCCTACAAGAGTTAAGTGGCCCCTAATCTCAACCGAATTTCACAGGGATTTGGGCACCTTCTTAGGCTCCTTTCAAAATCCCAGCAGAGATTCTTCTCTTAAACCCAAGTTACTTTTCTTACGTGCCTATTTATTTTGAATAATTTATGCTAGTGAAATGATGTCTTCAAAAGGGATCCTGAAACTACTTCTTAAACAGTGAGATATAACATTAAGCTTATTTACAGCTATTGAGAAAAGTTGGGACAGCAATAAAAGGTTAGAACAATGACATTTAATGTTACTCCATTAATAGATTTTATCACTCTTCCTACCACGACAATGTGTATTTTCATATACATTATATTTAATAAAATGTATTGATATGGAAATAGGAAAGCATGGGTTTAGTACTATTTACAATGTTTAATTGAAACAATTTTCTTAACAACATTGAAAAATAGAAACTTAAAAGTTCTTTTAACTGTGTTTTCAGCCAGTTAGTGGTAAACAAATGCATGCCTTGAAGTTAAACTTCCTCTAAAATGTGGTCAGTTGAAAGTTTCTAACTAAAGTGTGTATCTCTGCTTTGTTCAAAAAATACATAAGTATGTCATTTCTGATACAAAATTCTACACTATCTTCAATAAATAAATAATAAAGCGATTCTTAAAAGTATGAAATGTAAACTTTGTTGTCCCTCCAACATACAGGATTATGTTTTCAATTGCCTGAAACATTACAGTGGTCTTGTAGGAAATTATAATACACAGACACTTCCCCTCACGTTTTACACTTATCACCATACTAGATATCCATTATGAAGATATCCTAATTTCCTAAAGGAAATTGTAAAGACTTGCAGTGCTAGAGAATACCATCTATACAGGAAAGGTGGAAACTAGTACCAAAACAACATGCAAAGAACATCAAAACCTAACAGCAAGCTCCACAAAAACATCAACATGCTAGTGAAATGGTTAACACCTCCCATTCTGAAATGAAGCCATTACAAAAATACCAGCTTATGCATGATCATTAGATAACGAACAAAAGGACTCCAAGCAGAACAAAGAGGAATGTTACTCTCAGGGGGTCTACTGTCCTCTTAAGTCCCAAATCAGCAAACACTAAAGCATGTGCTTAAAGAAAGTAGAATTTAAGCCTGTGCTCAAGGTTGCTGAATAGGGACGTTTTGCCAAATCTCAGCTTGCATGGGTGTGGGGAGTTACATGGGAAAACTCCTGTACTCCCCTCCCCTCGCTAAGATAACAAGACCCTTTTGCTTTGGGGTTACTCACTCTGCACAATCACAAACAAAGATTTTGTTTCTGGTCACATCAAATATTACAGCCAACAAATTTATAATAAACCTGGTTTGCAATGAATGTCTTTGTGAGCTACAATATGCTACTGCCCTGATTTCAACACCATGATGTCAAATATGTTTAGGCACAGTACAATTTAATAACCAGTCACCACTAATTGCTTTTCCAACTAGACTCCATAGGGTATAAATTAGCTTCCTGAGCTAGCGCAGTGATTTTTTTTAATTACAGCTGGTGACCAGATTATCCATCAGTTTACGCACATAAAGTAGTATTTGAGTGATACAGTTCAACATTCAGCAGGGCTCTCTATCACTTGTGCTCATTATTCAAGCATTTACAACCCTACAGAAAAAATGAAACTTCAACAGGTATTGAAAGTCAGTGCACTCTTAAGGTGAAATTCAGCTCTGTGCAGAGGGACAGTGCAAAGCCTGTGCACAATTTTCAGTTCCACTTGAACCCTATTTTGAGAGGCTGAGTCTGCATGTGGTGCACTAACAACATCAGATCTGCTTATTATACATTTTAAAAAAAAGAAAATCTTTGCAATAGTACCGTGAAGATCTATAGGTAAATTATTGGCGATCATCTTACCTGGTAAGTGTTCATTCACGTTATGTTTACACACCACTTTTGTGGGGTAATAGGCACAACATTCTTAGGGGAAAAGTTTACAGAAAACCTTCAAAGGTAGAGACACTGACTGCTTCATGAAAGTTAAATAATAGTGTAACTGGTGCAAGTGCAGATATCTATACGGTTTGTTAACCTTTCAAACTGGAGCACAAGTTACCACTATGTTATTTTCAGGAGCCCTGAAAATTATGGTAAAGTTCCACATACAGGGTGAGAAAAGTTTCCTCACAAAATAGGGGTGCAGTTTTCAGCAAGGATTATCAAGGCACATAGATGCTCCTGTTTGCGTTGATAACCCTCTTGCACGTGAAGGGCAAGCAGTAGTTTCATATAAAAGGGATAAGGATTTTGAGACAGCTTCTGCAGACACCTATTGCAGTGAACTCAGATTAAAATGAAATACTGATTTCCCTCTAAGGCTCATCAAACAACTGCAGATCTAGTCGGACTACTATCTCTCCTGTTGGGACTTCATGAAGCAGGAGACACTTTGTGACTGGTCCTTTTGAGCCCTGATCCTTCTTAATATCCGCCACACGGATTTCTGTTCTGCCCAAAAAGTCTGAAATGCAAAAAACAGCATAAGCTGAAGTGAAACACATTTTATTTTCCAGTTTATTTTGTGACAACATGTTACTATGAAGAAAGCATTAGGCTTTTAGGCATGCAGGATACAGGGAGGTAATGGGCCAGTTCCTAATCTACCTATTAGGATCTAAGTGGCACTTAGGTGCAAGCATGCTTCAATTCCACCCTGCTCTGAGTCCTGGAAAACCCATTAATGCAGCTACTTCTATCAATTGAAGCCTTAAGACTAAGTTCCAAAAAGCAGTGAGGAGGAGGAGACCACCCCTCTTCTGCCTTAATGGGTTTTCTGGGACTTGAGCAGGATTATACTTAGATTATACTTAGATACCTAAGAAGTGAAAAAGAACCCAGCTCAATAAGTCTGCTGCATACAGTAATTTTATAGCAAATACAAATGGAGTCTTAATGTCTCCTGATTCTAAATATCAGTTGTCTAAGTCACTTCTGTGCACCTCTAGCCTGACTCTCAGCCTGGAGGTGGATATCATCCAGAGCGCATTAGGCCACAGCATTGTAAATAAAACAGCACTTGACTGGAATAATCCATCATCACGTATCTCTTTGCTGCGTATTTAAATGGCTTCTTTGTTTTGTAGCATGTTAGAAATAAAAGGTCAGAGCAGTTCAAAGTCTGCAACATGACTCAGACCAAGAACAATACCCTTCTGAGCAGAATAAAGCCACGAAGGAAACTAATCCTGAGGTAGGCCAATGGGCTCAACTCTACCGAATGACTGGTGTGCTCTCAGCTCTCCCTAAGAAAGGATACCACCCTCCTATTTCTCTCTCTTTCACACACTTGCGTATGCGCACGCGCGCACACATGCACACACTATTCTGTGCTACCAATATGCTCACTGAATTTTCTAGGAGTGACTGAAGCTTTAAGTAGAACTTTATTTCCTTTCTCCTTAGCTGTGATTATGGGAATTTTATTTTAATGAAAAAAAAAACCCCATCCCCTAAGAGATTCTCTAGTCCCACAACTCCCTCTCACTTTCCTACTTAATCTCTGCAAGCACAGGTGTCTCTGATATGCAGGTTTGTATCACAGGCTAGGAGAGGAGATTTTTCCCCCGAACACCTCCCCTGGCTAAAACAGTAGCACCTCACTGCTGTGAGCAACTTTCACTTTCTGCACAGAGGTGTTAAATAAAGGAAATGGGCATCAAGACTCTTGGGTTTCCAGCCACAATATTGCTACTAACTCATCAAGCTGATTTGAGCAAGACCCTTCTTCTCCCTTCTGTTTTACTGTTTCCATCTACAAGTGACGTCTACTTCAGAGGGGAAGCTGGGATTTTGATTAAAGACACTACAAAATTGCACGTCATATTTCAGGTTGCATCAGCTTCTACAGGAAAAAGAATCAAAAACACAGGCAGCTTTATTCTTCACCCATTTCCACTGAAGGGGTTCTCCAGACAGGAAGTGTGGCAGATCTACACCTTGGGTGCTGCTTTGTTGGTGAAATGTTTCACCTCGGCAGCCATGTAACTCCTAAGGCACGGAAAGGTGGGAAGAAGTGTACACATTACCAGAAGCATACCAGCTTCCTACTTACCATCTGGGGAGAACTGATCCCTCTCAAACACTGTTATGCACAGCACATCCTGCTCTAGGTCTTTGATAAAGAACTGGCAGTTTGAATTCCATTTAGGATTGAGAGTGTCCTGTATAGTCTTGGTGATGTGACACTGAGAGCCCATGGTCACTTCACAGTAGGGGTTACTCTTTCCTGGAAGGAGGAAGACAGGTGCAGGGATGTGAATGAATGTTGTTGTTTCATGGATATCCTTCTAAATATCCTCTAGCCTCCTCTATCATGAAACTGGGGAAAGGCTGCAGTACTGCCCCATGTTGAAAAAACAGGGAAGATCCTGTGAAGTACTGAGCACCCTCGGCTCCCATATGTGGGATTAAGCTTGTCAGGCCCTTACCAGACATTCAAGGGAAGGCTTTTCATAGATTCATAGATTCATAGATGTTAGGGTCGGAAGGGACCTCAATAGATCATCGAGTCCGACCCCCTGCATAAGCAGGAAAGAGAGATC